TAAAAAGAACTTCAGGGATGTTCGTGGGTCTTCATAATAATCAGAGTTGGTTGGAAAGAAAGAAGAGAAGAAAGAGGAGAAGAAGGAGAAAGGTCTGAAGAGGGTAGATTGATAGTTCCGGTAAAGTACGGCAGTATGAAAATTGAATAGAAGTTGAAAATAAGCGAAGGGAAATTGATGGGCTTTCGTTAAATTCCTACTTCTATTATATTTTCATACTGCCGTACTCTAGTGGAGCTATGAACTTACCCTCTTCAGACCTTTCTCTAGCTTATAAATTATCAAAATTAAGCTTCATGTTAGATAGCAAAACTGCGACTGAAAATTTTATAAATGTTGATCACGCAATCGATCAAAGATAAATTTTGAGGAGATCTACTAGAAAATATGGATAATAATTTTATGGACAATCACTACTTAAAATAGCTCAACACAATCTTTGCAGAATTCCATGCTAGTTTGAAGACAGTTTCAAGAGAATTCCTAAGCAAATTTATATTATTTTTTAAAGAGTTTCATTACTTCTCCGGGAGAGTTTCCCAAGAAATTTAGAGCATATTTCCAAACAAACTTCCAACTTCAAGAGAATTGCAAGATAATAAATTCCATGAAATCCTTCTAAAGGCATTGTGAGCAGAATTCTGGAGTGAACTCCAAGGAAATAATGGAAGGGTAAATATCTCAGTTCTAAATGGCATACCATTCAATTTTCCAAAAATATTCCTAGCGAATTCTAAAGGAAATTAGAATCCTGTCATAGTACAAAAGAAGCTCGGTGCAGGTGGCAGTGTCTTACCATCGATACGCATTTAGCAGGTTCGGTGTTATGGCGTTAAACAAATTCTCGCGAGAATGATTAAGTACGAGAAGATACATTAAGAATGAATTTCAAGAGCTTTTAGGAAGGTGTTCTTAAAGTGATCTGCACAGAATTCTGAGACTGTTATGGAGAAAATTTCTAGATAATACCGAATAGAATCATGCGATTACTGAGGAAAATCGTGAAAGAAAAAGTAATTCTGAAAGCTTTTTGGGACGATCCTATGCAAATACTTTACAAAATCCAGATATGAGTTCCAAAGAAATTTTTTTTTTTAATTTCAAACATTGAAATCATTTCAATCCAGGAATTAATAATAAAAACTTAATATTCTGAGACATACATTTATTTTATTTTTTTTAGATCTTGGTATATGAAAACTGAGAAAGATTATGAAGCTAGAAATATCAGAAAAAGCGTAAAATCATCAAAAATATTCAAAATGCCGGACTCTGGGACGTTGCCATTATTTAATTTTTTCAATCTGAAACATAATTTTTGGTATCCTGTACTAGGGTAGAGCGCTACTTCGTCGTAATCGCCCATTTCCGTTCTATCGATCAGAAAAAATAAAAAATGTCAATGATTTCACCGTGCACAAATCAATAATGGGTTTGTTCCGATGCGTTAGTTCATTAGCTACAACATAAATCTTATTACAGCGCATTGTATGAATATTTACGCTCATTGTTCTCAAAACAAAAGGAGCGCTCCTAACGAGTCCCCTTTTTCTACGTTTATCCGTAACTCGTAGAACGAATTTAGAATCAAGAAGCAGTATTAGATTTTGAGTGCGCAGTAGGCTCTGCCCGCAAACGGTCGGTTTTGTTCAAACCCGTTCAAAAAAGCGAGGTAAAGTGCGGGTTGTGCCTTGTAGCACGAAAATTAGATCAAAAACCCTATGTATTTTGGATTTATTAATTTTAAGGACAATCCAAGAGAGGCCATATAACCTTCCAAAACAGGTTTCGGAAGCCCTTGAAGAATTGGTCAATTTCGCATTACATCAGAAACCTATCGAGCGACATATCATTGTTCTCAGAATGTTGGTAAAAATCCAGAAGACGCCATATCATCTTTTAAGGATTTATCCATCTGGTTGCCGCGGACAGGTTCGAGAAGTTCTGCGGCAAGCCGTCTCACTTTTTTGGATCAAATTGGCCATCTGGTGGTCTCAGAACAGGTTCCGCAAGCCCTAGAGGAACTGGCCAATTTTTGTCACTTAACCTATCGAGCAATTATTGTTAGGGGGAGGGAGTATTGGGAGGTTAATCAAAGTGGAAAAAAAATCAGAACCAAACAATAAAATTTGCTGTTAAATAAGTCCACGCGACCCTTGCATCATACCAGAATAAAAATTTGTCAAACTGTTAATTGAGATTTTTTATTCAATTTTGAAAAAAAGCAAGGCGAGTGAGTTTGCGTCACGTAATTTTAGGGGGGAAGTCTTGTCAAGCGTTACTTATCCAACATCTGGATTTTTTGCGCTACGTAATTTATGTACCGCGCCTAACTTTGCTCAAGACACCAATTATCTATCTTTAATGTTTCATGCTTTCCGCTCATCGCAAGTCGGTCCCATTTGTGATTTTATCAAAACTGAGATTTTCAATGAAACTGGTAGCTCATCACTCATATTTACGTAACACTGGATGAATTCAACAATTTTGTTCTTGAAAAGTTTGGAAAAAGAAGCAATGGGGCGAAGCAAACTTAAAACGCGTTTTTCTCGGCTTGCTGATTTGTGCTATGGGACGGATTTGCCATGAGCGGCAGTATATTACAGGGTGATTCAGAATAACTGTAACCGATTTCACAAATATGCAAATCTCAATAGTAAAAATAGTAAGTAGTAAAAATATAATCAAATTGAAGAATAGTTTGAATGTATTCAGCGAAGTGTTTTTCTCAAGAAAATCCAGTGAAATTAGCGTTTCAATTTGGGTTGCCGACAATAGTCTGGCATGCCGAAGCCGTCATTTCCCCTACATGTTCAAGTATTTTCATTTTAAAGTGTGTACAAATATCAGCTTGTATTGATAGTAGGATTTTAAATTTCATTCGTTTTCGATTTCAAGCAGCGATGGACGTGACAATGGAGTAAGCCATACATTTGTATCAATTCGTGTGTAATCTTGTAGAAACTGAAATCTGATCGAAAGAATGAAACATTTATTGCTTGCATCACTATAAAGGTAAAAAGGAATCATGCGTGGAAAATCTGTTCAATATCTGAGATAAGACTCATTACCAGGACTCCAAAAGTGCTGAAACTAAAACGTGCGTGCCAGCTGTGGATCATTTTCGTGACAAATGTGACTGATAATTCAAGGTAAAGGGAGAGATATTTGAATTAAAGTATGCTTAGATGAAGGTTATCACCTCTATTCTGCATTTCGTTCGAAAAGAAATCCTCATACAAAAAAAAAATATTTTTTTGTATAGGAATTTCGTTTCGAACGAAATATAGAATAGGGGTATATATATATGTAATATATCTGGGATGTACTGATATCAAAATATCATTCTAGCGCTTCATCGCTATGACCATTTTCAAAAGTGACACGTATTCCAAATCACCCTGTGGTATGTAAAACATATCTTATGATAACATTGAGTTGTTCTAAAAACTTTCAGAAGTCGTTTATTTTTGCTGAAGATTCTAATTTGATGTATCTTTTTATTGAATAGCTATAACTGGTCTTGGAAAAAAAATAAGACACTCAAACGATCACAGCAAATCCAGCCGCAGAAATGTGCAGCTAAATCATAGTTTAAATTGGATTTAGTGTTCTTAAGAAGGAGTGAGTGATAAGAATCGAGAGGAAAGCCAAGCTCTGGTATGTCGAACATTTCAGCATAGATTTTTTAATATTGAAAGAAATGCTTTTTGATGAGCCTTCACTGTTCAAAACTTAAATATAAACGTTTACATTCACATAAAACATAAAGTTGAATACTCGTCAAATTACTATAGCTGACGAAAGAATGTTCATTCGATTTACCAAATTCAAGGGTAAATTTTGGACCAACCAACATGCTCACGTAGACGGTCTGTTTTCGAGAAAGTCTCTTCAAAATTAATAAAATCAAGTATGAATCATTGGAATATGCATCTAAGACCAAATAACGACGAGCAAGAAAGGTGATTTTCCTCATGCCAACCACTGTTTGGAATAAATTCTCGCGTAATATTTGAAAACAGTGCAAAAGCTTCTGTAAACAAAAGTAGTTGGACCCTTTATACGTGAACTGAACAACATCATCGGCTAGGGGAAATTCTCCCCTTTCCAATAGTGGTATTGATTTGCGTGTACTTCGGTTTGCATGGAAAGGGCCTTACCATTTTTGTTTACAATAGCTTTTGTGCCGTTTTCAAATGTCACGCCTGAAAAAAATGTGTTCTTAAGTCCATAATTTAAATTCCTTTGATAAGAAATTTATTCTGAATAGATTTTTTTTATAAATTGAATTATTTTTTCAGTTGACCGAAACCGTTCAATCGATCGAGATAAAATTGAAAAAAAAAATACTGCAGTAGAAGCTTTCATTACGACTGAGCCTTTATCCTTGAAAGATACGAAGATTTCGCTTCTATGCGAGAGTTTAAGCCCGTGGCCCGAATAAGAAAATAGTCCGTGAATATATTTCATAATCCAAAAACGATTTGAATCTGGATTTAATAACTTAACCTTGCGGTTCGCTAAAACTGTCAGAATTTGATATATTGTGGATTTGATAGATCCAAGCCCCATTTAACGTATGAAAGGAAAACAAAATATTACCCTTAATGGAGCCAATGCACACTGAAATCCGGTTGTAGAATCGCTAGGGCTATACCATACAAAGTATGGTTGTACAGTATGTACAGTTGTACAACCAGATGGCAGTGATGGTTAAGTAGGACGAGGATAACTGATTTCAATACGCTGTCAAAACAGACAGGTTCTAATTTGAATGTTTTTTTTTTGGTTGGCAAGAAGGCAGACGTTTTCCAATTTCCGACTATTCCAAAGAGTTGCATAATACTTGTACTATAAAATAAGAAATTAAAAAAAAATATAGACAATGGTACGAAAAAAATGCAAACACATTTCAATTTGGTCAACTTTTATAGTTTTTCCTGTTATCTCCCAGAGGAAACCAAAAGGTCAGATGACAAAGCAGTATCATTACTCACCGCAAATAAAGCTATAAGACCGTAGAGAGGAGCATTTAACGATGATGACACCAATTTCTCAAGAGGCGCTCTTCTGGCTGCGTGGTTCACTCAACTGTGTGTTTTCCGACTCCTTTTGTGTGAAATTCGCTAATTGCCACTGCACATCCACTTAGTAAAGAGCAACGAAGACAATAACAGGCTCCACTTGTGCGCTCACTCACTACTGTAGTACGTTACTCGCGGGTTGGGGTTTATTATCTACTTAAATTTTCTGGGGTTAGCTTTTCTTCATCCGAGTGTTTCTTCTTCCTTGTGTTTTCCGGTAGGTGACAGATGATATTTCTATCTCGTACCTCTTCGGAATCAATTCGTTAGCGTGAACTATGAAAAGCACTCCCTTATGTGCCAGATACCACGGATATGGTGTCAGAGGTCGAGAATATATTTGTCTTGCTGTATGGTTTTATTTGCTTACACAATCTCGAGAGATGAAGTGAAGAGCGGAAAACACAGTCACGGTTATGCTTCTACACCGCACCACACTCACCGACGGCTGCTACTTCACTTCACGGCTCCTGAAAAGAGGATAATTTCCAAGGATGGGAGAATCTCTGACTGACTGCTGTGAAGCAGTTCCTCACCAATAATGTTGCCTTCAACCTCAATGAGAAAACACAGGAGAAACCGCGAGAGATTTCGTCGTCCGCCCTCTCGGCGTTGCTAGTTCGGAATACGAGGATGTCTACAGTAGCTGATGTGTGTTTTTTTTTTATATTGTAGCTACTTCGCTTCAAAGCTCTACGAATTTTATTTCTGCTGATGCTGATAACGTGCTACTGCTTCTGCTACTGGCGCTACTGCCACTCTGCCAATGCTTTCAAAATAAGTAGCACAAACGACGGATAGTCAACTCTGTCCTGCTCTGGCTCTCACGGTTTTCCCTATCACCCTTCGCGTTGCTTCCTGCTTACAACCCTTCGGCGCCAGTCAGTGGGTAGGAAATGGTTGGTGGGAGGAGGAAGGCCCTCGGTCGACTATACAACAAACGGATCACCCTTACGAGCAAAGTTCACCGAGCAAGAAAAGCTGAACTAATTTTATTTGAGTTTTTGATTTCCCCTTCCCTCGTGTCAGACGTAGCCACTCTCTCCTGGTGTCACAGCTGTCACCGAAATTCAGTTTCCGATCCCGTTAGGTCCAAAAGTTGTTCGCTTTTCCGTATCGTAGTCTAAGCAGCAATTGGAATATCTACTCACTCTTCGTTTTTTTCTTCTTTCTCTCACGGTTTCCTTCTCTAATCTCTGCCTTTTGTATCTTACGTGTGTTATTTTGAAAGTCAAAAATATCAAATTTTCGTCTGTTCCACCATTGATTTTCCTACAGCAGTGTGCTAGTTCCTTTAGCGCTCACCTTTTTTTTTCGCTACGCTGAGGTTTTCCTATCCGCAATATAGTTTTTTTTGCTTCTGTTTTTCCTTCACAGTATCTTCAGCTTCTCACTATTTTTCCATCGATGACCCACCACTGCATCGCAATCTCCTCCAATGCAGTGAAAACCGATGAAATTCCGCCACAGACAGTGCTGCAAAAATCACTTTACCTCCAGTAGACTTTTTTTTTGTCCTCGTTTTCTTCTCAAGGATTTCGAGCTTTTCCGCAGCTAGTGAACAGAAATTAATCCTTCGCCAATGTCCCTTGTCACACGTGAATAGATTGAAAACCCAACGAGCTAGCGAATTGGACACCTCTTCCACTGTCAATGGTTATCACAGGAGAAAAAGTTAACACTTTACAGCACACTCAAAATGGTATTATCCTTTGAGACAGCTCATTGCGGCACAGACATGCGACTCGGAAAAGTTTCAGGCTCACACTACCAGCAGCTCCGCACGGACGAAAAGCTCTGAACTGAGATGGAAATTTCTTCGGAAGGGAAAAAAATAGTCGCATTGAACGGCAGTTCCGCTCACCAACACACACGCACGACGACGGCACTCTTGGGGGGTTTTTATGTTATTTTTCTGCTATTTGTTGGATGCTTGCGCTCCTGAACTTTGCTTGGCTGCCAAGGTAGATTCGGCCCCGGAGTAGGGGTGTCGACAACGTGCAAGGACTGCTTTCGTCGTCCTTTAGCGCGCGAGAGGCAGAGAGGATTTGGCGCATGATTTTATTGTTTTTGATGTTGTTGTTGTGTTGCATGTTGAATTGTTTCGCCACCACCGCCACAGGAGGATATATACGCTCAACCACACACAAACATCCTCGGTATAAATTTATGTGGCTAAATCAATGCTGAGAGACATTGGGAGTAAGAGAGCGAGCCACTCGTTTGGAGGCAAACATCCTGTATCGGTATGCATGGTGGCCCGCGGCATAAAACAACGTGCCAATAAAAATGAGGGGAACATCGTCAGACTGCTCAATGACGTCATCGCTCAAGCGTAGTCTTTCAGAGAGCTTTGTCCAGTTGGGAACACTGCTGCGTGAGAAGCTTTTATCAAAAACTTGAATTTATAAAAGCACTCCTGTAGGATATCGCAAGTTGATGGATTATCGAAAATAATGAATACCTCGAATGAAATCCTTACCAATAGCATCAAATTCATTCATCAAATATTTGGAGAAGGTATAGCGTGGACAAGGGGGTGGAAGTTAACCCCCCATTTTATATTTTAGGATTTATTTTATATTGAACATCAATTTCTAGTATATGCACCATCCTGAGGTAGTTCATCAACTCAAAATTTGCATTCAAAATAACAATTTGGAAAAGGATGAACTAAATATCCAATATCATCACATAGACGCCTTTATTCATACTCACTATTCGGGTAATAAACGGTACCGCAATATAAAACCAATGCAATTAGATGCTTAGGAACCAGACCATAAGGAAATATCAAGATTATATCACCTTGTGTTATTTTGTTCGACAGATTTTTGTAACAACGGTTGTTATAATTCAGATCCCGGATTTAGTTAAAATAACAAAAAATTCAACTGCTTGGTAGCCACATTATTAGTCTAAGAGAAATATCATGTTTCATAAATAGCTTGTTTGAAATTACACGTTAGGGTTATTACTAAATAGTTTTTAAACACATTTTTATGTATCATATTTTTTTAGTGTTTTCCATTTATAGATAGTCATCAGAGCAATAACTCCTCAAGATTGATTAGCAAAATTTAAAAAAAAAGATCTGCCACCGGGATTTTAACCCAGACGTTTGAGAATTACATAATTTATTTATTATAATCTTTAAACATAATTTATTTATTATAATCTCAGCTGAAAAATGCACGTTTAGTCACTTATAAACAACTCATTTATAACGAAAAAAGCGCTTGAGATGGGATCAATATACAGGGGACACTTAAAATAACAAGGATTGGTAAATTTTTGGTCGACTTTGGAGTGTTGTAACTTCGTCAAATGTGGTCCGATTTTAATTTTCCAAAAGCATTCAACTAGACAACTAATATGATGAAGCCACGAAAATAACCATGGATACCGGATACTGAAGATAATTTGGATTTCCGCGGTGCTTGTCTAACTTGGTAAATTTGTGATGTAATTTTCTTTACGATGCTAAATCGGCATTTCAAGTAATTACACAGAAATAAGAACCATTTCCAAAACTAGTGATACGCCAAGCACTAAAATCGACCAATAATCAATCGAGATACGGCCATTTCCCTGGAATTGGTTCTAATGGAGGATTCTGAATGCGGTCAGATCTTTTAATCACTCAAAACCAGGCGCCAGCTCGTTCTTCATGGTTTTTCACCAAAAGGCTTTCGATAGACTTTCAATGGATCATTGACCACATTGGCCGCTCTTGGAACCACAGGGATGCCTCCGGGAAATCCGTAGCAGGGGACAACTGCAAACTTACACCAAAACGCCAAAAACCAAAACGATAGATTTTAAGTGGATATTGGCCACATTAGCCGCTCTCTGAACCACCAGGATGCTTCTCGGGGAACATGTAGCAGGGACGGTTATCGCAGAAATTTACATTTATTATATTTGAAAATTAACGCTCATTTAATTTGAAAAGTAGCTGAATAGATTCAAACATAATGCAATATCGCACACAAATTTCTATTTCATAAGACTGACATTGTGAAAACATTATATCCAACTTGCAATTAGATGCATTCTTATTTAAATTTACATGACTAGTTTAAATTTCACCGGAATACGGTGTAGTTTATCGTAAGACATACAATCCTCCATAAGCGGCGCCAGTGGTGTAGTGGTAATCGTGATTACCTCTCACCCCAGCAGGCCTGGGTTCAATCCCAGTCGGCGCCGCCGGGATGTTCTGAGGCATAACATCTCTGATCACGCCTTCCTTCGGATGGGAAGTAAAGCCGTTGGTCCCCGGTTCATGAGTTTGATGGGTCGATAGGTAGGGTCCAGGTGTGGGTGCTGCTTCCCTGGCCTGGCGTCGGTAGCATTGGTACTCAGCACGGAAAACAAGATCGACAAAAAACAAGCCAAAGGAAAAAAAAAAAAAGAATAAATCGCTATCACTTTGTTTTATGGATTAACGACCATTTTTATAATTTTTTAACACTATCTTTAAGGGGTATATCTTGCAGGTTAGCAGGTTTTAGCACCTAATGTCAACATTATTTTATTCAGTATCTTATAGCCTACTGTTACATATGCAATTCATAGGGGGATCCAAGGGGATGCCTAATGAATTTTCAAATAAAGAACTTCAATGTTTTGTTGTTTTCATGACCATTTTTCCAAGTATTTACATTAGGGTGGGTTCCCCACTGCTCTTTCAATGCTTAGGTTGGAGGTTCTGGCACAACTCGGCAAAATTGTAACAAATTTGGCTATAATCTCGATTTGCGGGAGAATTTTAAAATTTGAATGGGAAAATTTATCGGAAACGGAACGGTCCTATTCATTTGCTTACTAAAAATTCAAATATTGTCTAAATTTCACCAAAATGGTGAATTTAATTAAAATGACACACACATATTTACTCACAAAAATTAAACCGATTATCGGATTTTCTTGAAACTTTCAGGGAATGAAAAACTATTAATGAGTTATGATTAACAAAATTTGTCCTTTTCACTCCACCCATCAAATGTTGTACAACCGATTTCTTCAACTCCAGCTCTGTTTTAATAGTTTTATGATGTGTGCGAAGTTTTGTCTTCATAATTGCCCAGAATTTTTCAATTGGATGAAGTATATTTTGGCACACCCGTGGCTCGGTACCACTCCAACACGTTTCAAGCGCATTGGCAGGATGCTAGATCAGGCCAAAACAGAGTTGATCCTTTGTGCTTCCTTATGAATGGCAACAGGCGCTTCTTAAGGCACTCTTTCGTGTAAATTGTACCGTTGATTGCTCCGGAAGTGATGAAGGGAGCGCTTATTTCACCACACACTAAGTTTTTTTTTCACCGAATCTCGGCAAACAAATTGCCGACATGGGCACCACTGAGTGCTCGGCAACCATCTTGGCAAACAGTAAATTTTCCGGGGAGCTCGGCATTCATAAAATTCACAGTTGTCAATTTTTGCCGAAAATCTCAGTAAACAAATTTACTGATTGCTCGGCTAAAGCATCCCTACGGTATTAAAATATACTGAATATCGCCATTTTTTGTTTTGTTTTTTGTTTCGAGTTAAAGAAAAAGAGGAAAAATATATTATCATGTGAAAAATAGTTTTTTTTTTCATTATTTAACGTCGGTCTCTGTTCCGCAATCTAGTGCCAATCACCGACGGATATCGATTGCCATCCATTGACGGCAATCGAATATGTGCAGGAAGGCAGCTTCCACACCTGCGTAGGATATCGCACCCATTCAACGCACATGGGCCAGGACCAACGGCTTTGCTTCCCTTCCGAAGGAAGACGTGACCAGACATTTTTATGCCTCAGAAAAATCCCACCGACCTCGGCTGAGATTGAACCCAGACCCATAGGGGTGTTAGAAAACAGTCACGCTTACCACTACACCACCGGCGCAAGCTATGTGAAAAATAGTTGCAACATAAGAAACACTGCAATGAGATTATCATTCTGTATTTCATTTAAAATCGTCACAAAATCATACATCACAGGAAGTTATTCGGGATTTACATTTGAGGAACAAGCAGCAGCAGCAGAGAATGCGTATTCCGAATATGAATGTGTATATGGCGCTAAAACTCTTCGACATTGGCTGACGGCAAAACAGGTGATAGTAGACGGCCTACGAAAAATAATACTGACGATAATAACAACAATTGTGTACTGACGAAAAAGATCGTAGATCCTGCCATCCTCATTTCGCACTTGAACACTTGATTCATTATTCCGCGATTTACAGCCAATTTTGATTCACAAAACGAAAATGGCGGGGGGGAGGGGGGATGTGACAGCTGTATTACCAAAATTCGGCAATGGATGAGGTCAATACCGAAATCTCAGTAAACGCAATTGCTGATTTCGGTATTATCTCTATTTACTGATGGGCTCAGTGAATTACTTTGCCGATTTTTTTGTAAAAATAATAGATCGCTGATATTTCATTAATTTTTTTAAATTAATCTCGGAAAAATATGTTGGTTGCCAACATATCAGCAAAATAATGAACTACCGTGTCGGATCAGTATTTTTTCTGCCGAGCACGTGAATCTGTTTTAATTTCTGGATTTTGATTGTTAGTGCACTTTTTTTCCACGGACATTTTCTTGTTTCGACGACATGACTGAAACTGTATGAATAACTATGAAAACTGACTGATGTAATCAATACACTCGTGAATTGAATAAGAATAAAATGAATAAGATTTACTAAAATTTTCATACGGTTCATAGTCACAAAAGAGTTTCGGTGTGGCATTTTTATCGAATACACCCTTTATGAATCAACTTTCATCTTGTAGCTGCAAAACAAAGCTAAAAATGTGAACTCATACTCATTTTTTGACTTCTACACAACCAACCTTCTTCTTCTTCTTCTTCTTATTCGCATTTCAAGCTTATTGCTTAGCGCATATTAGCTTATTGCGTGCTCTCAACTTAGTGTTCTATAAATGCACTTCCACAGTTATTAATTGAGAGCTTTCGATGCCAATACCAATGCATGAATTTGTATATTTTGTGGCAAGCACAATGATACTCTATGCCCAGGGAGTCGAGAAAATTTCCAACCAGAAAGATTCCCTCGACCGGACCGGGAATCGAACCCGTGCTCCGGCTTGGTAATACCGTGCCTTTACTGACTAGGCTATGAGGCCCCTAAACACACAACCAACCACTCTTGCTGAATAACATAAACTTCAAACGTGCTATTTCGACAACTTAACAACTTGTACTCAGCTAATAAACCATGTTAGCGTTAAATTGGAAGCATTTTTACAGTCAACGAAGTTTATTTTTAGACTTGTGCAGTTTACAGCTTTTACTCCCCTCTTTTACAAAGCTGAACAACTAGTGAAAAGTAATACATGAAGGACATGTAGATCGCTGAGTAACCGCGATCTTATGAGTACCACAGTACATTGCTTATGAGTAACTGCAGTTTTTTTAATTACAAATATGAGTGAATTTCGTTGTCCTAGCTCGCTATTCTACTATCTATATGCAATTTTCACACTGCCGAACTCTAACGGAACTATCAACTCTATACTTTCATCTACTCCATCTATCGTATAAAACTTACCACTACAGTCTGTTATTTGAAATTAGCATCTTCAACTAAACTAATGGGGTGTTTACATCTGTGCGGATTTCCTAGCGCTAGTGTACTCGCCAACTAGTACGAATTTCAGTTGCTCCTGAAATCTAATGCTGGTAGACGATGATGCCCTGTTTACATTTTGCTAGTGAGCTTTTTTTGCTAGCAGCTAGCTCATTAGCGCTAGTGAAATAGCATAAGTGTAAACACCCCATAAACAACGGACGACAAACAACACCCAGTACACCACTAGGGAAATTTCCATTTAACGAATAGTTCCACCGGCTGGAGCGGGAATCAAATCCTCATTTCTTGGCACACACAATACGCCAGAACGACGGGTGATGCCACTAACCGCACGATATCAAAGCCCACAAACTCTGGGACGGTCTGCCGGAATATCCGAAACAACAGTACACCCCAATGGGTCTGGGTTCAATCCCAACCGAGGTCGGTGGGATTTTTCTGAGGCATAAAAATTTCTGGTCTTCGGAAGGGGAGTAAAGCAGTTGGTCCCGACCCATGTGTGTTTGAATGGGTGCGATATCCTACGCAGGTGTGGAAGCTGCCTTCCTGCACATTCGATTGCCGTCAATGGATGGCAATCGATGTCCGTCGGTGATTGGCACTAGATTATGGAACAGAGACCGACGTTAAATAAAGTAAAGAAGACTACCTCTAGTAGGGAAGGACCGATTAATCGCGGTTTACTCGGGGTTAGAAAGGATAACATCTTTGAGGGAAGGATCAGGGGAGGAGCATGGAAATGGGATATCGTTATCTCATCACAGAGTTGTCGCCAGTACTATAATCAGTAATGTCAAAGTGGTTAAAACTGATGGCTCTCCACGGTAATCAGTTATTGATTTTTTTTTTGTTTTCTTTATTAAAGAGGCGCAAAGAGGAATTAACCAGTTACAAATTTACTATGACATCAATGAGTATAATAGCGGCGGGCAATGTGACCAGGGTAAGTGGTCGACTTATAAAACTGATCCTAGGACCCCGTGATTAGTTTTTGTTCCGAAAAGACTTGTCCTTTGCTGGTTATCTCGATTTTTTTCTAAAGTAATTTATTAGCGAACATTTCCAGACCGGTACTTGATCATATATGATCTCAATTTTTTCAAACTCTCAAAATTAAAACATTCGAAGTCACATTTTGAACATTTTTTTTTTGATAACAAACCTAGAAGAAGAAGAAGATGATGATGAGGATCAAGTCTTTAAAAAATGGTCATGCCTACGATTTTTTCTTCGCTTTCGAACGTTAATTCAATAGCGATAGCAGTACACATAAGATTACTGCTAATCTTTTCTTTCCCGGTTGCTATCAAACATTGTTGGGCATAATTTGACCACCTGTAGCCTCATAATCAGTGATATTATTGTGCAGATCTTATACTCCCCCGTTTACTTTGGGCTAGATTTGCACTACGAGGGGAGAGGTGGTTCATTATAATCTGTTGAGCGGTGGGATTTGGAAGTTCTTCGTACTGAATACTAAGTGGCTGTAGCAGTTTAAAAATGAAGACTGGAATTGTTTCAATAGTAATTTTGGCCATTATGGCCCTAGGTATTTCAGGTGAGTAAGGTTGGCTTTATAAATTTAATCGGTTTTCTTCACAATGCTGTACACTTTCAGATGTATCTAGCCAAGGAATCATCGTAGATGCAGCCTTGCGAAGAATTTTGGAAAATTTCCGACAGTTGATGAGAACAGGAAATCCAGAAACTGGAATGCCCGTCTTGGCACCATATTTCAATGAGAATGTATTGATGAACGTTTCATTCGGAGGACTCTTTGAGTGAGTTAAATCGGATGTAGAAATGCAGTAAGACACTTCCTAACAGCCTTATTTCAGGTTTGATGCGCGATTCACGCCTATTCACATCGAAGGGTTGGATGCCTTCCAAGGACGATTGCAAGTTGATCTGTCAACCCTTCAGTTTCCTTATGAGTTCCGTTATGATGATGAAATAGTGATGAGTGGATTTTATGACATGAACGGTCGGATGTACGGCTTGATTCCGATTTTCGGGATGGGTAACTTCTTCATTCGACCAAAGGGGGTGCACATTAATGGGACAGCTACCATCACCGACGATGGCGAAGGAATGCTTACTCTGGCTGATTTCACTATTCAGTTGATGATCGATTCCCTGGAGGTATGCGATGATTGTCAAGATCTTTTTTGTTAGTTACTTATGTCATTCCGTTTTCGAATTTCCAGACAAATATCCAAGGAATGCTGCTCGGTGGAGACTTATCGGATTTACTGAACGAAGTAATTCAGGATATCGTTCCTTCGATTTTCAGAAACTTCCCAGAAGGTATGACAAATCTAATGTCTGCAGCCATACTACCGATGGCTAATCGATTCCTAGCTACAAGAACAATGGAGGATTTATTGAGTCTTCTGTTTCCCAGAGCTAGCTAAACCACTAAACCACCCGCAAATGAGTGTTTGTCTATACAGTGAACAGTTCAATTATAAATGTTATCTTTTGCATGTTTACGCTACTGGTTTTATTATTCCAAATGCACAGTTTAGGCTACATACACATTTTTAATGAACATATTTAATCGCTGGTAAGATAAGCTGAATAGTTGCCAACGAACCACTGTTTCTTACTTTTAATGCATAATCTTGTAAAGATTTAGGCAGCCAACTACTAAATGGCTCGCAAAAATGAAAAGTTGAACCTGAACCCAATCAATCATTATTCTCTATGTTCTTTTTTTTTTCAAATACCGAGACATGTCGCGTTAGATACACGGTTGATGTTTAACGTATAAGGTTAAAGATAGCGCCAAAATGTATGCTCTAACTTATCACAGTATTGAATGCAATAAATATTGTATGCAATAATCTATAACGGTTGCCAAAACTAATTCACGCGTAACTATTCAAATAAACGTATCTGCTTTTGAAAACAATAACTTCAATCGACGATTTATCTTAACTGCTAACTCACCTACGCAAACAAACACCATCATCAGGTAGATGGTGTTATTAGTTATTGTGAGTGAGCTAGCAGTTGCCACAAATCGTCTATTGAAGTGATTGTTTACAAAAGCAGATACGTCGATTTGAATAGCTGCGCTTGAATTATTTCACGGTGGATGAAGCCAACTCAGACAAAGAGAAAGCCAATAATATTCATAAATTTCCATATTACGCAGTTCACTCAGCGCTAAGTATCCTGCGTTTTTAGACTTCTCAAACAACTGAGTAAAACTGACTCTTTCACTCTGAGCTAGTCTCATCGGCCGTGTAAATCTTAAACTTCAAATAAACATTAATGGCGGTAAGCTCCAATCGATATTATCCTCGGATTAAATCCCGATCAAGAATGTCCAGCTGCTTTGATGTCGACATCAGAGTTATTCAACACGATGCTATGCAAACAATTCGCAGATCATCCAAACAGGGACGGTATTAAAAGTTAATCCGAGTTGGAGCTTACCGCCATAACAATTGTAAAGGGCGCACTATAGGAAATCAGGCGGACAAAAATAAGAAAATTTACTTTTTCTGATTCTGGAATACTCTATCAATAGCAAACACTTTGACTAAGACGTTCCCAAAACTTCAGGTGTCTACGATTTGTAGTTTCAGAGATATTCAACAGAGAAATGCTGAAATCATACACTTTTTGCATTAAAAACAAGCCCAAATTAAAATATCATTTTATAATGAATTTAACCGTTATTCCCATCAGAGTTGGTTGGAAATGTTAACATGAAGCTTTAGTGTATAATTTATTAGCTAGAGAATGATCTTTTGAAGAGGGTAGGTGGATAGTTCCATTAGAGTACGGCAGTATGAAAATTAAATAGAAGTTGAAAATGAGCGAAGGGCCATTTTCGCGATGAAACTGTTTTGTTATATTGAAATATATTGTTGAACAACGGACTCAATTTAATTTTTGATTTAAAAAAAATTAAAGGGTTGTGTCCTAGGCACGACCGCAGCATGACGTAGAACCATGCAAAATTGATGTTTGTCGAACATTTTTGACTATTATATTTATTATTATGAATGGGGCGGGGCAGAACGTTTCTTTTGTGCAGAATATGGATAAAGGATCGACTTTGGATGTTAATCATATTGCATATATAGAGGTACCAGGTATGTTTTTCAGTCAGTTGTTGGTAATTTACCAACATAATATCATCGGATGTATGTCTCCTCTTAGAGCAACCGTAACGGTACGCTGCTAAACTCATTTTAGCAGCCCTCATCATAGCGCAACTACCGTATCGGGGGTTGCCATACGAGTAACTAAAATAGCAGTCGGCTTCTCGGTGAGAGGCGCGCTACCAAATTTAGCAGCGCGGGAGAAAGGTTGCTATTCGTAGAAATGTCAAAATGCTCACTACCGGTACGGATAAAGGCGAGTAAATTGATAACCGCGATAGCAGCGACCGGTGTGGAGAAGAGTGACTAAACTAAAATGAGAGCGCTGTGCGCTGTTAAAATAGTCGCGGAAATGACAACGACCGTTACGGTTGCTCTTAAGCAATTGTTTTGAAAATTTTGGCTTTTGCTTTTACTTATATGAGATGAATAATAACTAGGCACGCCATGACTTTTCATACACATTTCCTGACAGTTGGTAAAAGGCCATTTGGATTGAAGCTGCTGCACGGGTAAGTTCAACATTCACTAGCTGCGTCGTGGGTGATTTGCCCATAACCAATATCGGCGGATTTTCACATTTCTGGCGATCCTGCCAGGAGGTAATAAAGGGTAAATCACCCACTTGCAAGGAAAATCGTAAATTTGAACGCGACCGGAACGGCCGTTTTGAATGCGAGTGAGGACGGATTTTTGCAAAAATCGTCTCCTCGCCGTGGCAAGGCCACAGGAAAGAACGCGACCGAGACGACCGTTTTGATGCGAGTGAGGACGGATTTTTGCAAAAATCGTCTCCTCGCCGTGGTAAGGCCATAGGAGAGAACGCGACCGGGACGGCCGTTTTGAATGCGAGTGAGGACGGATTTTTGCAAAAATCGTCTCCTCGCCGTGGTAAGGCCACAGGAAAGAACGCGACCGGGACGGCCGTTCTGAATGCGAGTGAGGACGGATTTTTGCAAAAATCGTCTCCTCGCCGTGGCAAGGCCACAGGAAAGAACGCGACCGGGACGGCCGTTCTGAATGCGAGTGAGGACGGATGTGCAAAAATCGTCTCCTCGCAGTGGCAAGGCCACAGAAATAGCACGCGACCGTTCAAAAAAAAAAAAAAAAACAAAAAAACTGGTATCATTACCATGGCAACGAAAACTAATGAGCATTTTATGGCATTTAACAGAATTTTCGAGATGGCTGACGAGGGAAAATACATCCGGGAGCGGAGAAACGAGGAAGAAAATCGCAGACGACGAACGCCGTTTGACGGGTCTGATTCGGATGAAGACGAACGCAGCGCGGGATTGGACAGTGAAAGTTGCGACAGCCTAGAGGACGGCGATAATCCGACGGATCACGAAGGAGCATCTAGCGAGTTTGGCTCGGAAGATGACTGCAACACGCCCAAGTAGCAATTTTGGTTTTATGAGGGTTCTGTAGACCATGATTTAGGCTTGTAGAATGCTATAAAACCTCTATAAAGCTTGCAATGTTACTTGGGCGGAATCAGATAGCGGAGGTGGCATGGAACATCCTACAGAACAACCGATTGACGAAACTGACGCTCGAGAAAGGCAAGCGGACTTGTTCTCAAGCACAGCCATTCGGTCGGACAACGCCCTGGAACAGCGGTAGGCAACGTTACTATTGACCAACTTGAAAAATTAGAGCAAACGCTTGAAAAGCTTCTGGATGCGTTCAAAGAACCCACGAGACCAGCGAAAACTGCCCCACCCGCCCGCGATGCGGATTTGACATGGACCAGCTCCCACGCACCGGTATCCTCTGCAGTCGAGTATGGATCATGCAGCGTTCGTTGGGAAAGCATTAAACCTTTTCCAAAAGACATCCCATCAAACAAGATGTGGGAGGCTTGGAATTCTTATATTGAGAATTTCGAGATTGCCCTCTCCCTCAGCAATGCTCGGGACCCAGTGCGCAAAACGCAGCTACTTTTCTTCTCCATGGGGGAGCAGCTGCAAAACATCGTTCGAGCGGCAAAGCTTCGTCCCAGCTTATCCCGGCCGGATTGTTACGAAGAAAACGTTGACGAATACTTCAGATCGATGACCGACACGGCCGCAGAGCACGAGGCATTCTCAAATATGAGGCAGCAAAAAGGAGAGTCAGCAGTTACATTCCCCTGGATTCGATTTCCCCTGGGTTCGGGTTACAGCGCCATCATGTTGTCAAAGAGGGTTTTTAAGTGGGGAAGTCGCCGTTAGTGGCGCTTAAGTCGAATAGGAATCTTTACACAAGTTTTTAAAGAAATTTTGTTCGAGCCTCCATGTCTGTTCTCTGTGTGCAAAAGTGGAATACGGGTTTTAAAATAAAAATTGACAGCATTCAGTAATTCATTATAACTTGTATAACTTTTATACCAAAGGAGAGGGAAGATATGAGATGGATAATAACTAGGCACGCCATGACTTTTCATACACATTTCCTGACAGTTGGTAAAAGGCCATTTGGATTGAAGCTGCTGCACGGGTAAGTTCAACATTCACTAGCTGCGTCGTGGGTGATTTGCCCATAACCAATATCGGCGGATTTTCACATTTCTAATTGTAGTGTGCTTAAAATTTATTTCCCGGAAAAATAGTGATCGTCAAATCCATGTCTTTTTTGAGTTGACGTTATAGACGGGGGGAGGGGAAGAGGGATATTTTGCATATCCAATTCTCATTCCTCATTATGTGACAGGTGATCACGCCGTGAGCCACCTTTATCCGCTTAGTTGGTCCTGCTTGCTACATGACCAAGGGCCACGCCGTCCGAAGCGGTAATGAGCAGAGGCATTTTGACATTTAAATGATCTTTATTTCTTGTATTTGTTTGGTTTACATGTATGAATTATCAAGTGACACAGATGCGTCTTTTCAACTTTAGTACATTTGAAATTTTAATTATTATTTACAGTTCCTAGTCCTATTAGGCCTGTTATTAGAGTATGACCACCTTGGTAGGATTGGTTTGTTTTGAATTTGAAAATGGAGACTACTTATAACTACTATTTACAACTACAATTAACCTGTAACTACTATATACACCTAACCTACTATATACAAATTGCTTATCAAAGCATGTTCTGATGTATTGCATTTCTGCATAAACCTAGTCTTAATTTCATCAATTTTGAAATCTAATTTTGGAATGTTCGCCTCTTGGTGGAGGTCTGAAATTCTTGTGTCAAAGGGACGATCAAGGATCATCCTAAGCACTCTGTTCTGAGCAACCTGGATTTTGTTCCTGTGAGTGATTCCCACACCGGAGCTGCGTAGAGGATCGCAGGTGCTATGATTTGT